TCGACCTTGAAAATTGATCGGATATTTCCCGAGAGTTTCGTTGCGTATTTTATTTTATTTGTTTCATTGCTGCAAATATCGTCTGGAGACAAAATAATTGTCAAGGCAGATTCCTCATCATGAAAACATCGAAAAAATAATTATTCCTCATATTGCTGCCTATTTCGAATAAAGAAAATTATATTTATAATTCACATTGATGGAAAATCAAAATTCCCGCTCGATCGCACGGTGGCCCTCTGCCGGTATCGGTCGAACCAGAACTCAAGCAGAGAGAGATATCGAATTAGAGCAGGTAGTTGTGTTAAGTGGATGAGGCCCCTCTCCCAGCTCTGACTAACGAAGCTCGGGAGCCGCGTGAGCCTAATAAGCCCAGGTTGCCGGGCCCTGACATAGACCACGCATGCGCACGCAATCAATATGAGAGACGCCAGGAAATTACTGTTTGTTTTAAATGACAAATCATCAACTCCTAAATTCTGAAACTTGAATCATCATGACCACCAAATGATTTTTTATTAAACTCATATTCGTAAGAAAAAAAAGGTTATCATTTTACTTTACTAAATTAATTATTTAATTGAAATTAATCACTCCTAAATTGTAATTATTGTCTTCAAAATTTCACTAAAATACCACCTAAATATTTGTTAAGGAAAAGGTCGGAAAAAATCAATAATAATATAAGTATGAAATCAATTCCTCCTAGCTTAAGCCTACTATGCATGCGCAAGTGTTCTTACTATATAGTGTACGCAAAAAAGTACGTTTTTAATTTTTATTAATAAAACCATCAACTCCTAAATTATGAAACCTTGATTATAATAACCATCAAATTATTCTCCAGCGGTTGTAATTATTTTTGAATTGCTTACTCATATCTTCTGCTCATTTTTATTGTAGAAAGAGAAGAATCCATTAAACCAAAACTGATTAGTCCTAAATTCTCATTATGTTCTCCTAAATTCCACCAAATTACCACCTAAATATTTATGAAGAAAAAAGTTGGTAACGTTTATAAAAAAATTATATTTCTTCCAAATACACAAGCCGCATACGATACTAGTATCATACTCATATGAGCGTACGTCGCCATCTCGCGGTAGTACGGTGCAGGTACGATACCAGTGAAGCATACTCTGGGAAACACATCGGTACAGCTATCTGGGTATTTTAGAATCGAAACGACGGCCATTTTTTCAGATCTTTCCAAAAATCAAAAAGGATTTTTTTCAAAAGTTCGAGTATTTAAACTACTCGTTACCTTGATCGAAGTACACGCCGTTACAATTCCCCCATAAGCAGATCGACAACACATGTTGCTGTGAGTGGTTTTTCGAAATTAATTGCTCATTGGGAGCCCCCCATAGGAGGGTGGGAATTTTGATATACATGTTTTGAACGTGTAGCTCGAATATAGAAGTATAATATAGAAAAAAATGAGAGTAAAGTTGACTAATCAGAGTTTTCGCTGCACATCCTTAACGGACCATTCAGCGATAGCAAACAAAAGAATACCCACCTTTTTTCACCACAGTTATCGTCTGAATATTACAGCAATTTCTTCAAAAACAAAACCTTTACAATCGGGAAAAATCAGTGGGAGGGTCAGGTGCAAACGTATCCACAAGTATGGATCCAGGAAAGCACAAGCACTATAATTCACATTTGTCAGATAGAAATCCAATTCCCATCAGCACAACCATTTTTTCGAACAATTGTTCCCAAAGAATGGTGACAGATTGAACTCAGAAAATTTGTATTTTAATGTATTTCATTTAGTATGTTGTATCGTAGACAAGGCCAGATTAATGTTTTAATAGAGTCCGTATTTCTAGTTGATTGATTATTACTTGTTACCGCCAGGAATTCTCATGACAATGACAAAAGTAGTGGTTAAATCAACTTTTAAAGGTTCTCTCTGTTCCACATTGGTGTTCCACCATTTCAGAGCTCTACACCCACACCAGATCTGTTCAATTCACTAATAGTTCATCTAAAGGTCTTTTCACTGTTAGTTCATTTCCGTACTCATATTTCCCTTTACAATATCGCTAGCGAAACAATATGTTTTCTTAACTTTTTTCGATGGAAGCCAGGATTGAAAAGAATATTTATATGCGTATTCTTATTGTTGTGGAGAAAAGAAAACCGTGAATGAAAACCCGAGCACAGATTACAGAGGAGATTGCTAGGGCTTATGGAAATGCTCCAATAAGAGTTTTCATTGCGGCGGCTACGGAACTACGCCCAGAGAGCCCGTACGTGTAAGTAAAACAGGTCGCGAGCCCGTGAGTGCCGATAATTTTCAGAGCCCGTGCGTGTCGATAATGTTCAGAGCCCGTGAGTATGGATACGACAGAGCGCGAGCCCGTGAGTGTCGATAATTCGAGGCGGTCGTGAGTGTCACTAAGGTAGGGCACTTATTGAAATAACGATGACGTCCGAAAACGAACGAAAACATCCGATGTACCGGAGAGTG